TCCACATCCACAAGTTCCACAGAAGAAACCATTATTATCTTTTGAAACTTGAGAATATGAAATTGTGGGATTCACCCACAATGGAATTTTATAGAGGCGTAAAAAGTAGAATGATAATATTTGTGCATTTCTGGAAGGAAGTGGAAAATATTATATAACTCAGGACTGGATTTCAAATCAGAAAGAAGGATTAGCTAGAGAAGGCTAATAAAGAAAGATCGAAGGTCTACAGAGGCTCACTCTGGTCCAGCAGAGATAATGGCAACAAAATTTAGTATAAATAATTGAAAGAAGCCTCTAGTAGGAGGGATAGCAAAAATATAAACAATTTTCTGTCCAGTAAGGTGATGACTTTGCAGAATGAACAGCATTTAAAAAAGTGCTTCCAGAGTGTACAGTAAGGTAAGTAAAGCAGACATGAATGAAGGACCATAGGAATGTTTAAGTACATTAACACCAAAGAGCTTTCAAAATAGCTGTACATAAACATCCTTTGGAGGAGCTCCCTAAAAACATGCACATGTAAGAAAAGAAGTGTGGTTATCTCATAATGGGGTGACAATGTTCTTTCTAGGTCACATTGAAACAAAAACATCCAATCCAAGGAATGAATGACCTCTTTTGCAGTTGTTTGTCAGGGAAGTCTCGAAGACCTCCAACCACTACAATACTATAAAATATCCTGGAGTAACTCTAACCAAGCAGGTGAAAGGTCTGTGTGACAAGATCTTCATGTCTCTGAAGAAGGAAACTGAAGAAGACCTCGGAAGATAGATTTCTTGTGGTCATGGATCAGTAGGATTAACATAGCCGTAGGACGGCCATCTTGCCAAAAGCAATCTACAGATTCAATGCAATCCCCATCAAAATTCCAACTCAATTCTTTACAGAGATAGAAAGAGTAATTCTCAAATTTATTTAGAACATCAAAAAACCCAGGATAGTGAAAACTAATTCTCAATAACAGAGAACTTCCAGGGGAATCACCATTCTTGACCTCAAGCTCTACAACAGAACATTAGTGATAAAAACCACGTGGTATTGGTACAGAGACAGGCAGGTAGAGCAATGGAATAAAATTAAAGCCACACACCTATGGTCACCTGATCATTGACAAAGAAGCCAAATTCATCTAGTGGAAAAAAGACAGCATATTTAACAAATGGTGCTGGCTTAAGTGGCAGTCAGCATGAAGAAGAATGCAAGTAGATCTGTTCTTATCTCCTTGTACAAAACTCAATTCCAAGTGGGCCAAGGACCTTCACATAAAAACAGATACACTGAATCTAATAGAAGAGAAAGTAGGAAAGAGCCTCGAACACATCAGCACAGGAGAAAATCTCCTGAACAAAACACCATTGGCTCAGACTCTAAAATCAAATATAGACAAATGAGATCTCACAAAATTGAAAAGCTTCTGTAAGGCAAAGGACATTGTCATCAGGACAAAATGGCAATATATAGATTGTGAAAAGATCTTTACTAATTCTGTATCTGATAGAGGGCTATTAACCATTATATACAAAGAACTCAAGAAGGTAGGCTCCAGAGAACCAAATAACTGTATTAAAAATGGGGTACAGAGCAAAACAGAATTCTCAACTGAAGAATATTGAATGGCCAAGAAGCACCTAAGGAAATGTTCAACATCCTTAGTCATCAGGGAAATGCAAATCAAAATGACCCTGAGGTTCTATGTCATACCAGTCAGAATGGTTAAAATAAAAAACTCAGGTGACAGTAGATGCTGGTGAGGATGTGGAGAAAGAGGAACATGTCTCCCTTGCTAGTAGGATTGCAAGATGGTACAACCACTCTGGAAATCAGTCTGGTAGTTCCTCAGAAAATTGTACATAGTACTACCTGAGAACCCATCTACACCACTCCTGGGTGTATACGCAAAAGATGCTCCAACATATAGCAAGGACTCATACTTTTCACTGTAATCATAGTAACCTTATTTATAACAGCCAGAAGCTGGAAATAACCCAGATGTCCCTCAATAGAGGAATGGATACAGAAATTGTGGTACATTTACACAATGGAGTACTACTCAACTATTGTAAGCAATGACTTCATGAAATTCACAGGCAAATCAATGGAACTAGAAAATATCATCCTGGGTGTGGTAACCCAGTCATAATAGAACATACATGGTATGTACTCACTGATAAGTGGATATTAAGCAAAAAGCTCAGAATACCCATGATACAACTTATAGATCATGTGAAGCTCAAGAAGAAGGAAGCCCAAAGTGTGGATGGTTCAGTTTTACTTAGAAGGGGAAACAGAATCATCACAGGAGGTAGGAGGGAGGGAGTTGAGAGGGAGAGAGAAGGAAAAGGGAAAAAGAGGGGCAGGACCAGTTGTGGGAGGAGACAGAGGAGATGTACAGAGGGTCAGGAAATTGAACAGAGGTGTGTAGTTGTGGGGGATGGGGAACTGGGGGTAGCTACCAGAAAGTCCAAGATGCCAGGAAAGCAAGAGGCTCCTAGGACACAATGGGGATGACATTAGCTGAAATACCCAACAGAGGGGGAGAGAACTTGTAGAGACCATACCCAGAGGTTAGGCACAGTCTCTGGTTGAGGGGTGGGGCTACTCACCCTTCTTAAAAATGTTAATCCAAAATTGCTCTTGTCTAAACAAAATACAGGGACAAAGAGTGGAGCAGAGACTGAATGAAAAGCCATCCAGAGACTGCCCCAACTGGGGATTCATCCCATATGCAGACACCACACCCAGATACTATTGCTGATGCCAAGAAGTGGTTGGTGGCAGGAGCCTGAAATAGCTGTCTCCTGAGAGACTCTGCCAGAACCTGACAAATACAGATGCAGATGCTTGTAGCTAACCAATGGAGTGAGCACAGGGACCCCAATGGAGGAATTAGTAGGACTGAAGGAGCTGAAGGGGATTCATCCCATATGACCCCAATGGAAGAGTTAGGGGAAGTTCTGAAGGAGCTGAAGGGGTTTGCAATCCCTTAGGAAGAGCAACACTGTCAACTAACTGGACCCCTCAGAGTGGCCAGGGACTAAACCAGCAACCAAAAGTATACATGAGAGGGTCCATGGCTCCTGATACTACTTAGCCGAGGATTGCCTTATCTGGAATCGATGGGAGGGGAGGTGCTTGGTCCTGTGGAGGCTTGTTGCTCCAGCAAAGGGAGATGCTAGATGCTAGAGGGATGAGACAGGAGTGAGTAGGTGGGTGGGACACCCTATTAGAGACAAAGGTGAGAGGGGATTGGATAGCAGGTTTTCAAAGGGGATACCAGAAAGTGGGACAATATTTGAAATGTAAATAAATAAAATAATAAATTAAAAAATAGATCTCATTCATTATTATTATTTTTGTAAATTGTTTACATCTTGCTTGTTGCCTACTTCCCAGACACCCCCTTCCACAATCCTTCCCCTATTCCACCTCCCCTTCTCTTCTGGGTGGTTGGGGGCCTCCTTATTATCCCCCTACCCAAGCATATCAAGTCTCTTGAGGCCAGGCACATCCTTACCCACTGAGGCCAACAAAGCAGCCCAGGTAGAAGAACATATCCCAAGTGCAGGCAACAGCTGTTGGAATAGCCCTTTCTCCAGTTGTCTGAAATGCACATGAAGGCCTAGCTTTACATCTGCTACACATTTCTGGGATAGCCTAGGTTCAGCCCATGTATGTTTCGGTTCCGTCTCTGAGAGCCCCAAAGATCCAGGTCAGTTGATACTGTTGGTCTTCCCATGGAGTTCATAACCCCTTAGGTGCTAAAATCCTTCCTCCCATTCTTCCTTAAGAGTCCCCAAACTCCATTCACTGTGCCTGTGGGTTTCCACATTTGTCTTAGCTGCTGGGTGGAGCCTCTCAGAAGACAGTCATGCTAGGATCTCATCTGCAAGTACAACAGAGTATCATTAATAGTGTCAGGGATTCATGCTCACCAATGGCATGGGAATGTCACTTGAGATTTTAAACTTAGCCATGTTATTGGTTGTAAGATGGAATATCTGAGTCGTTTTGATTTGCAATTCCCCAGTGACTAAGGACATTAAATGTTCCTACCTCAAGCAGACACATCCAACAGCATAGATACAGTGAAGGAAAGATTGCTCCAAAGGGCAGAAAAAAGACTGGATGGCCTCTCATTTATCAGGCTAAGTGGTACTTGTTTCTGCTGAAAAAAAGTTGCAAATATGGCTGGGTGTGGTGGTACATATTGTTAATCCTGGCATATGGGAGGTGGAGGCAGGCAGATTTCTTTGATTTCTGGGCCAGCCTGGTCTAGGAAGTGAGCCCATCCAGCTTTCTGTTAGTGAAAGCCCATATTGGAATCAAAAATACCTCTCCAAATCAACAACAAAAACCAACAAAAACAAAACTGACAAATCCCAAAACCAAACCAAACCAACTAAACAAACAAACCCAAAACCAAAAATAATGTCACTGCGTTTGTAGTCACCAAAGTCATATTCCTTGCCTAATGGCTCCTGCTAAATCCCCATGGACAACAGAGGGGACACAGTGGCTTTTTTTTGCCTTGAGAAGGAAGCCAAAGAAAGGTCAGCTTGCCTGACAGGTTTTTAGGAAACCGGTCCTGGAGACTAAACCAATGCAGGCTCCAGCAGGCTCCAGCAGTCCCCAGCAAATGTGTGGTTTCTCAGATCTAAGGCTAGACTGAGCTAATAATTCAGTTTCCCAGATCAGGCCATGAGCATAAACAGCAAGCATGCCGAGAACTCCTATCATAGTAGTTTGATCCAGGCGTTCCAATTGGTCGGAGTGCGCATGCCTGTGTTTTGAGGCGTTGCTTGGCAACAGTGGGATAGACTTCAGTTGACAGGAGTACCTGTACTGCATGGACTCTATCCTACTGAGCTTGCTTGTGGGTGCTTTGTCGTGGTGGTGGTGGTGACAAAACTCACAGTCTGTTGGTTGAGGGTGGCCAACAACCAAGGGGGAGGGGCAGGGGAGGGTGACTTGGGGTGGGTGGGTGGGGAAGCTCCACCATGAAGAAGTTCTTTGGCAACTGGAATCAAAGGCATTCTTCCTCTGGCCCCTCCACCAGCCAGAAGGAGTCCTTCCTGGGCCCTGATGGGCAGTCCTGGGATTCTATTGCCCTCCATTCCTTCAGAAAGCTTAAAAGCTACAAAGCTTTTGGAAAGATCCACAAGGCTGCGAGCCGGGGTGCTGTTGCCATGGTTCAGAGCAGACTCATACTTGCAAAAAATGGCGTCAATGACCGAGACAGGAATGACAGGTAACTGGGACTAGGAGTCAGGGCCAAGGCACAGTTTGGGAGTCGTGTGGAGAAAGATGTGTCAGCTTTCCTAAGTAGCCCAGAAAACTAGAGCGAGGAGGGAACTGCCAATGCCTTTAGTCCTGGTGACTAGTATGTTGACCTTTGTCTTTAAGATGTCTTGGGACAAAGGTGGTAATCTCTGTGCTTGGCAGTTATTCTACTGTTCCGTGAAGGCGGGGGTGGGGGCGCTGCTGACCTAGAACTGTTTACCACTCAACTCCCTTGAGTCTTGAATTTCTTTATGTTTTGATATCCAGTCCCCCTCTTTTCTGTGATTGTCTGATGTACCTGTTTCTCTCCCAGGCTCTATAGTACGTTGGTATGTTCATGCTCATGTCATTAAATTTCATTCCTTCAGTGCCCCAAAGTAACTCACTTAATAGTAATAACCACTCTTTCAATTTGGTGTCTGAGTTCACCTACGGGAAGTATACAGAGAATCAACGTGAACTCCTGCAATGCAAACATTCATCTTTGGAGTCATTTTCAAAGGCTATCTGTAGCTGAATTCCAGCCTTCTGGAAACTGTGGTCTTATCATGCAGCCCAGGGCAGAAATTCAGGACCATATGGTTTATCTTTTGGAAGGCTTAGCTCCCCTTGGCCTGTGAAGAGCCCCTTCACTCCTTGATATTCCTTTGTGTTTTTCATCATCTGCAAACTGTACTGTAGCTTTGGTTTTCCCTCAGCTGTTTTGTGTAGGGTGGGTTGTTACCTTTATTTTTCTCAATCTGTATATCCCAAAAATTCATATCCAATATATCATCCTTGTTAGATGGCACCTTAATTTTTTCTTTATCTGTGAATTCTGCCATGAACATATGGAGAAGTATTATTATACATTTATTGGTAATAAAATATTTCTCATGACATGCAAGTTCATGACTATTTTTCACATAATTATTGTATACTATTTGTACTGTATATTAATATATTCTAATAGCAGTTAATGCCTTTAGAAATAAAGAATAGTTCTTAATGCAAAACTGAAAGTTTATTATGCAGTCATATTATTATATACTTACAGGTTTGTTACACATAAATGATCAGACGTCATCGTTTTAGTTGAAGTTTTCTGAAGTAAGACATTGAATATGTTTATCTCAAATACAGGTTTTCTTTCCATTTATACAAGTTTTCCTTCAAGAGGTATAATGACTGCACTCATAATAGCGAGAAGGAAAAAGGACTCCAAACTGAAAATCTGTCTTAAATATGCTCATTACTTTTGTCAACCTTCAAAAGAAAGCTTTTTAAAGCTGAGATACACGAATCATATATAGTGCCTTATCCTAGAACAGGAAGAAGGCAAAAGCTTAGATTAGAGATAAGTTTAAGGAAAAAATCAGAGACATTCACAGAAAAAGCAAAAGTGGCTCCCTGAAATCAGGAAAATATAAATATGGGCACAAGAGAATAGATATGAGCTTTATAAAGTTGTGTGCATTTGCATGTTGGAAAATTTTGGACAGGATGATCATTTACCTCTCGTTATGCTCGATAAACACCAGGTGATTATATAAGTCCATATATGAATACCAGCAGTTTGAAAATTCAATTGACATACTCTGTGACGACTTCATTCTTTTTTAGAGAGTCTGCATAATGCTCTATATATTTTTCACTGGCCATTGTCATATTTATATCTCTGGTACATTTTGTATTTTATCTTGAACATCAGGTACTTATCATAAAACTTTTTAAGGGTCTTTTAACTATTGCCATGGCTTCATTTCTGTTACTGTGATCAAACACTCTGACAAAGCAACATACTGGAGGAAAGGGGGTATTTGGCTTACAGTTCTAGGTTGTAGTTCATCATAGTGGGGAAATCAGAGTCAGGATCTGCTCACACCACATCCACAGACAAGAAAGGAATGAAACAAAAGTAAGCTGTTTGCTCACAGTTAGCTCTCATTACTCAGCCTATGGAACATTGGTACCCATAGTGTGTCCTTCTACAGCTAACAAGAAAATACCCTACAGACATGCCCACAGCAAACCTGATGTACAGAATTCCTCAGTTAAGGCTCTGGTTCTAGGTGATTTTAAGCTGTGGCAAGTTGTCATTTAAGACAATTCAACATAGCTTCCTGGGTGTTGAAATACGTTTGTTTCAATAAATGAAATAACAAATGACCCATATTGTAACTATTTAAATGAAAAACTTTCCGTAACTGTGGGCCTTGATTTGAAGATAATAAAGTAGAGACTTAAAGATTAGCTAACATTATTAATCCAGAACATACATAGGCACACCTGTACATACACACACACACACACACACACACACACACACACACACACAAAGTACACACACCTACACACATTAACACAAGAAATACACAAACACTCCCCACATGCATACATGCACACACACATACACACTGTACACATGCACACACATACACCATACACACACTCATACACAAACATACACACACACACATACACACACATGAAAATGACAGCAGTCTAGAAAATAAAACTATTGAACATACAAATGCAAATGCAGAGGTTTTGCACTTAACTTCATGGACCCATTTGTTGATGCAGTTTTCTTACATTAGGGGAAGAGAATGATTATTGACAGTATGTTGCTTTATACCTCCTATCGCCTGCTGATAAAATAAGTATAAGTGCAATCTCACCCATTTCTTGATTTATGAGTTGTGAGTTATAATTATAAAATCATTAATTAAATTTATCAGAATCCTCTCAATTATTAAGTATAAAATACTGAACTCCTCAACTTTATTTATTCTTTTTACACAGTAGTTCACCAAATACACATTGGTTCTCTATTTTGTAGGTATCACATTTATTCTATGGCCTGTAAATGCCTCTCACCCTGTCCAGATTTTCTGCCCTGTGTAGAAAGTTTAGAGAAATAGGCCTCAAGTCTAATTGAACTTCTGCCTCTTTCCTTCCAATTAACAATATTTCCGAAACTAGGGAATTATAAAGAGTAGCTATTTTGAAAAATTATAGCAGTATCAAAAACTCCTATTCATTGACCATTGAAACCTCTCATTTCTGGACACTGTATACATTTAAGTAATGACTAAAATGATCCATACTTTCTCATTTGAGTCCTAGTTTTTCTTTTGCTAAAGATTTATAAGTCAAAGTGTTATTTTTCAGATACAATTTGCTATTATCGTATTCTCTTTACCTATAGCAAGGCTGTGTCTCAAAGCAAAAATACCCAAGTATCTAAATACTGAGCAGTTTCATGGCAGAAACTGCTCTAAATGCTTTGCACGTGTGTTTGAGTAATCCCACTATGTCACATGAGATGAACATATTTTGATCCCCATTTTATGACTGAGGGGTTTAGGTATGGAGAGAATAGTACAATATCTAGCAACAGAGTTTAAGGCAAGCTTTGGATCCCAATTGAGGTAAGTTCTAATTCAGAAAGGTTGCTTTGAACAAGTGTGCTGGCTAGTTTTAGATCAATCTGACACAAACTAAAGTCATCTGAGAGGAGGGAACCTCAACTAAAAAAGAATGTCTCCATAAGACATGGCCATAGGCAATTCTATATTGCAGTTTCTTAATCGGTGATTGATGGTGAAGGCCCAAACCCATTGTTGGTGGTGCCATCCCTGGGCTTGTGGTTCTGGGTTCCATAAGAAAGATGAGGAACAAGCTAGTAAGCAACACTCCTCCATGACCTGCATGACCAGCTCTTGCCTGCAGGCTCCTTCCTTCCCTGTTTGACTTCCTGCCTTCATTGCTTTTAGAGATGAACTGTTATCTGGAACTGTGCGTGAAATATTCCAATTCATCTCAAGTTGCTTTAGTCATGGTCTTCCATTACAGCAAAAGAAATCCTAAGTAAGACAATGTGGTACAATCATAGTGGGGAATTGCCATGGCAGAGTTGACCATATTTTTTAGGAGGATGGCAGAATGATTTTGGAATATTGTGTAAGAAAAGCAATTGAATGTTCAATGCTTGGTGAGCTGTTCTATAGGAGCTTGGAAGATAAGAACGTTGAGGGTAATGCAGTGGATGGAGGTCTGGCTTGGAAGCCTCAGAGGGATGTTTAAAGATGCTATCAGGGCCATTTCTTGTTTCCCTCCCCTGGTGTCTTTGATTATGTTGTTGCATTGCAGCAATGGAAACCTAAGACAGCTGGCATTCAGCTCCGTAGTACCATACTTGCCTCCTGTGCAGGAATGTATGTGCCATGTTTTCAACACTGCAAGTAAAAAAAAAAAAATCTCTGAATTGGTTGCCCTAACTTAATGAATTGTGTGCTAAGAGCTGATATATATTGTCTCTACATCAAAAGAAAATTAATTACATGCTAATAATATTTACAATTACATGAATAATCATGTGGTTTTGACTTTGTTTTGTAAAAATATTTTTATTGGATATTTTATTTATTTACATTTCAGATGCCATCCCCTTTCCCCCTTTCCCCTCCCTAGAAAACCCCTACCCCATCCCCCTCCTCCAATTTGCTTTTATACCATTTTAATTACATGCAAGTATTAAGGTCAGTTCTAGGTTGAGGAACTAGCAATACAATAGATGCAAATAGTCAAGGAACAAGCAAGACAATAAAGATAAATAGTCAAAGAAAAAGCAAAGCAATAAACAAAGTTCTGTGAAGAATCCTGTGATCACTGTTTCTAAGGGCTTATCTGGATGATGAAAATATCTGAGCCTACTTCCCTGTCCTAGCCCAAAGTCATTTTCATGTCTTAAACCTACCTCCTTGTTCTAGCCTAATATTTAGATTCCTGCCTGAAATTAATTCTTTGTTCTAGCCTAATATTTAGATTCCTGCCTGAAATTACTTCTTTGTTCTAGCCTAATGTCAGATTCCTGCCTGAAGCTCACTTCATTGTCCTTGGCCAATGTCATATTCCTGCCAAGCAGCCCAACTTCTCTTTTTGATTCTCTGTTCCATGAGGTCTACAAACTTGAGGAAAGTTAGC